AGTTTTCAGCCTTCACAATTATTATATATATATATATACATCCAATTGATCAAAAAAATGTTTGCAGTATTATTATCATATTTAATAATTTTGATGATCTAAAAATTATTTTTAGATCTACATTCGGCTAAATTTTTAAATTTGGCAGCAAAACTGTTCTCTTTCTGAATTTTGTAAATTGCCAAAACGTAAGATGAAACTTCACGATGAATTTCTCAGACATGTTAATCTTATCCTGTACAATAATGATTTTTATATGGACTCACTGCTCTCTCTTGGCGATTCTTTAGCCTTGTTGAAGGAAGTCGAGACACCCGTGTCCTTGATGTGGTGCAGTGCATCGCCGTTAGGCAATTTTCTCATGAGTTCTGGCGAGAGCTGCAGGCAAGTCTGCAAAAGTGCAACAATTTACAAAGCTGCATTTGTCCTCGTGAATTAAATTCTAAGATTGCAACGATTGTATAATCTTTGCGTATTATCCACGTTGCGCGAATGTCGCTGGTAAGTTAGTAGCTCGTAAATTGAAAGAACCGCATATCACGAGGAAAAACATGTCTGCCTTGAGCGAAGAAATAAATATAGAAAACTACTTTGCATGAGATATCCCTGGGAGACTTTCCGCAGACGGTTGTAAAAATAACATTGTCAATGAATCAACGTTTCGTTTGAGTTTCGCGCGACTTATCCTCACGTCGTCCTTCCGGTTGAGTCTCGCGTTCGTCATAAAAAATCCGCTTCTTAAAAAGACACTCGCATATTTTGCGTAATTAAAATTCTTTTTTCTGACAAAGATGTATATAGCTTTCAAGCTTCTAAGAGGTCTTTTTTCTAAATTTTTTTTCCTTCCCATCTTTTCCCGTCACGATAAGAAGAAATAAAATAAACAATCCCTCGGGGGTGTTATAATTGAGCTCAATAGTCGTTTTGCTGCTCCAGAAAAAAAGTCGAGCCAAGGGCGATACACGCAGCGTTGCGTGTATGCGTATATGTGTGTGTGCGTGATGGCTAGCTCGGTCATCAATTACGGGAGATAAATAATATTTCAGCGGATGTTCTCTGGAATCTCGCAGATTTGCAGACAGGTCAATTAGGAGGAAACTCCTTCTCTCTATCTCTTTCTCTCCTCGTAATTAACAAGGAATCTTTGGAGATGCGCGTAGTCCTACCTACCTCCAGGATGTCGACTTCCTTTCTTCTGGGAGGCGGCGAACGGTAGACCATGCCATCCTTACTAACACCGTACAGCTCGAACATCTTTCCTTCCTGTCCGCTCTTTACCTCTGCGTCAGGATTTTTGCTGGTATCGCCATCACCATAAGTACAAGAGGTATGGCGTCCCGACGCGGCGTCGGCGCACGCGTCAACCCCCATATCGACCCGATCGTGCATGAGTCCGAAAAATTATTAACAATCATCAAGATGTTCCCATGGAGGATGTCGTTAATTTTTCATAAACGCCATATGATTCGGAAGTTATATCTTTCTTGTTATTTGGAAATTAATATCTTTATCTTTTTTTAAATCTCAATGATTTAATCAGATTGTTTATTCACCGGCTATGTAACTTTTTAAAATCTGGTTATAGAGGGTTTGGTCGCTTCACTGACTCAATAGACGCGAAGATTTAAGTTAGATTTTGATAACAAATGAAATAAATAATAATAAATAACGTTTCATCAATAATACTCGATATATTTTAAAAATTTCTTCCATAAAATTATTTTATCGTATAACTTTTTCTGCTTTTTTACAAATTTCACTTCCGTAATGTAATTATGTTCGAAAACAAAAAAATTTCACTTGTCTCTTCAAAATGATAAAAGAATAAAAAGAACTTCTTTAGTTTATTTATTAATAAGTTAATGCAACTTCGAACAACTTGATCGGCGATTAATTAAATCGGCAGAATCGCCCGCATTTAAAATTTTAAATAATTCAACTCGTGTTTCTCTTTTTCCGATATAGTTCTTTCCTTTATAATGTTAAATAATTAAATATTAATAATAATTAAAATATATGATATTGACAAATGATATTGATATATTATCAGAATATCGCTATGGATATTTTCAAAGAGATCAATCGCGATTTAAGTTCGGAATTTAGCCAGGATTATCGTTAAGCTTCATCAATTTAATGTAAAGTTGGATAATAATTGATTAATAAGTTATAAGTTAAATAATGAAATTAAAAAGTTAATAACTTTTATCTTAGCTTAATTAATTTTAAATGAGTTTTATTTTTAAGTTACTTTTTTGTTTTTAATGTAACTCAATTAAAATTTTATAAAGCATTAATTTTAATTGAATTCACAATTAATTTTGTGTATAAAGACATTTCTGTTCCGTGTGTACAGTAGTAGCAAAAAGTTATTGAAATTTAAAAAGAATATATTCTTTATATTTACATTATTTAAACCATCAAATAAATAGATTTAGATTATAAAAATATAAAATTAAAAATATAAATGAAGCAACAAGATCTCTTCATAAGAGAAAGTATTTGTAATTAACACTATTAATACAAAAAAAACAAAAATAATTAATAATTAAATAATTATAAGTTATTAATTATAATTATAAGTTATAAATATCGAATAAGTTAAATACATGAAATATAAAAATCAATTAATATATACCGAATTATTTAATTTGCTTTAATTAAACATTTAGAAAAATATATTTTGTGTCTAAAACACAAGTATGTTTTAAATATACTATTTAGTTCAACAAGAATTGGTGCAAATTAAAAAATTAAATAATTTCTAAATTGTTTAGAAATGTTTATACTTTCGCCAATACTTCAATGTATGATACATTCATTTCTAATGTCCATTTCTAACAATGTAGATTAATCGTGATTTAATTTATTGTTTATCTTTTTTAAGAATTTTAAGAATGGAAATTAGTAAGTCTATTATCTTATTTTTCCAACATGCCTAATTCTCCCACTCCTAGCATCGTCCGTCGGCGATGGGCGATTCCTTCTCCAGGAGACAATAGTGCTGCCATCGGGAGACGACTCTTGCAGCCGCGGCGCCACGCCGTCCGCGTATTCGCGATAATAAAGGGAGCGTTCCTCCTCTCTCTCCTCCCTTACCGACCGCCATATTGTTTGCGATACGCCGTGCACGTCGGTCTCCTCGCCGTGTCCTCGTCAACGCGTGTGACTCGCATTAACAACGCTCTTCCCGCGGACGGTGTTTCGGAAAATCAGCAAACATTTCGCGCAAAGGCAACATGAAGAAGATCAAGGATTACTCAGACGAGGACGATTACGAGGTGGACGATCCGGATTATCCGGAGGTCGAAGGCGCCTCCGAAGAGGAGTGGACTCCGGAGCCCGGGACCGAGGTAAATCGACATGTTTGCTCGAGGCTTCTCCGTCCAAGTTCTCGTTGAAATTATACGCGTGCATGTACACTTGTCACGGGGAGTCGACTCTTCCGTCGGGACGTGCCGTCCGCGCGATCGAGGGCCAGTCTAACGAGAGAGAAAGAGACAGAGAAAGAGAGAGAAAGAGAGAGATCGGACAGCGGTCGACTTATACCGTGGACCATCATCGGCGATGGCCGCAGCGACGGATATTTATCGAACATGTCGGCGACGAGATTTCTGTGCCGACCGCGTCAATTCGCCCCCACCTGGAACGCATTCATCCTCGCATGTGACTTGCGCCAAATGAAACATACCCGCGTCTCCCGCGAGATTGCGAAATGAAGCGAGGCGTCGGCGACGGTGGCGACGGCGGCGACGGCTGCTCTCTTCATGTCACTCTGCCGTGGAAAGACGCTCGCGAGATAAGATCCTCGGCGCATCTCGACGCTGAGTTTGTTCTCGAGACCGCGTTGTGCGGCTTCCTGCACGGCAGCCCGCTCGCGCTGTCCCGGCGTATCTCGCGAGATCGGACCGTTCGTTCGTTGGATCTGGTCCTCTCGTCCCGCACCCCTCCGCGGCGGCCATCGTCGCCGGCCGGTCAGTGGCGCCGGTCGGCGATCTTTCAAACCGGCCGGAAGAGAACACGAAAGTCGCGACTTCGTCTCCTTGATGAAAAAAAAAAGAATAACTGCTCTTATCTTGATCTTTTTATGTCTATTTTTGCTACTAAAGATTAAAGGGAACAGGGTGATGGATATAAAAATCGATTTTTTTTATTTATAATCAAAAAAAGAAATTTTTATTGAAAAATCGTAACTTCAATTTTAGATGATCGCCATTTTATTGAAAATTATTATTTTTAAAAAACCACAATTAATTGAATTGATTGTTATTTTTTAAAAAAGCCACAATTGATTGGTGATATTTCAATTTTAAATGAGTGCGACATCATTTAAAATTGAAATATCACCAAAATCATATATTTTGAAAGTCTATAGAAAATTTTTGTATCGACTATGAAAAAGAGTTTTTATAAAAATATATACGTATAATAAATATATTTTTTTATTATATCTCAACCAAGAATTAATATTTGTAAATTCATTTTTTTAATATGTTCCATAAAAAATTTTAATTCCTATTAAATTAAATTAAATTATCTAAGTAAATTATGAATAGCATAATTGCATGCTAAAAATAACTGTATTTTTCGATTCATCATTTTAGTATACTTCCTTTACTTTAATCTTGACTCAACTTATTTTTTTTATTTTTTTTCAATTTTGATATCTATTTCTATAATGTAGATTAATTTCAATCTTAGTTCAATGTACTCTATCTTTTTCTAATTTTTATGTCATTTTTACCAATATAGATTAATTTTAATTTTCATTTAAATTATTGTATTGTGTTTTTCTATTCTACAAATTTTTAAATATAAAGAATAAATTAAATCTGAAATCATTCTATATTGATAGAAACAATTTTAACAAGGGTCTGAGTGATATGGTTAAGATAAAACTATTTAAAAGGAAACTTAAATATAATTTTTTTCTTATCCATAATCGATTCTTTTTTATATGTCAAATAAAAATACTTTTATGTTTTTATTAATAAACCTTGTCAAGTTAATATTACTTATTAATCACTGATAAGTTAATCAAAGTTAATCAAAGTTTGATCAAAAAGAAGTGTTGAATGATATTTTGATCATGAATTGTTAGACATAGAGCTTTGTCATATTAATAAACTAGAAAATATTATTTTTATAAAATGGAGAAAAGTAGATGAAAAAAAGGAAAAAATCCTATCTTAATTATTATTATATAATAAATTAATTAATATTATATAATTTTTACAGGGTGGCACTAAAATAAGACCACCAAGAGGAACAGCAAAAAAACGACAGCATTCTGAAGAAGAAGATGAGGAAGAAGAAGATGAATTCGAGGAGGATGAGGAAGAAGAAGATGAAGAATCTGATTCTGATACAGGAAAAAAGCCAAAGAAAAAAAGGCGGTCTAAGAAAGATGACGATGAAAAGGAGGATGAAGAAGATGAGGATTCCGATGACAACAGTTACAATGAATCAGGAGAGACACCAAAAGAATATACGGTGAGACATTGGACAATTAAGATTAGTGTTGAATTGGTAATATCTTTTTTAAAACGTAATCTGTATCATTCGTGTTTCTTACAGTCTGGTTCGTTCGTTCTTGCAAAAGCTGATCTCGAATCTAAAAAGAACAAGGAAGATAATTTATCTAGTAAGGGTAAATCCGATGTAGAATCGAGCCCTTATCCAACCTTGTGGAGGATAGATGGAAAAGCATTGCTCCAAAAGTTTTTACCTTTTGAGGAAGATGGAAAAGTACTGTACAAAAGCACAACGACGGTAAATAATATCATTCAATTCATTTCAGAATTAAAAATAACAGTCTATCATTTGCCTGAACTGATCCATAATTCATTATATTATTCAATATTATATAAAAATAAATGTGATTTTGATAAATCATCTTTATAAATAATTCATATAAAAATTGCATTTTTAGTATTCTGGATGGCAACAAAGTAACAAAGACAATTACATAGCAGTTCAGGTATCCTTTAAAGTGCAAAGTAGACAAGAGACAATTGTTGAACTTCATTTTGATCCATCGCAACCACAAGAAGTTGTAAAGTACGTAATTGTTGTTTGTTACATCACAATTCATAATTTATATATATATATATATATATATATATATATATATATATATA